TAATTGATGCAGAATATTTTATTCTCGAGTGAGTGCATATATATTTACCGATTGTGTGAATGGAGCTTAACTTTCGGGAGATAGCTATATCTAGTGTGTGGTAAGTCCGAATGCAAGTACGTAATATTCCATACATAAGCACTAAATGACATTCTAGTCTCAGTTCTTTGTAAATTGTAAGAAAAATTTAATTTCTTACCCTCCCTGTAGCATGCCTTTCCCACCTTCATGCTTCTCTAAGCTTATTATAACCCACTTCTGAAATCTCAGTTTCATTACAAACCAAACTTAAACCACATAGGTCTTGAGGTTCAACAGTCATAACCAAATACTTCCCTTCACCACACTTTACCCTTCTATGTTCTCCTTTCCATTCACACTCTCCATCCTTTTTCAACTTTTCCTCAGTTCTATGACATCCAACTTCCCGATTTCGTTCATAAAATCAATCAGTTTTAAACTAACTTCGTAATTTATTTTTTCAAGTCACTGCTGCAGGAATACGAACTACCAGTCCTTTTTCCCCAGTATGTTATTTGTGACGCACAGAAGTTATGGGGGAGAGCACAGGTATACATACACAAACATTAAAAGTATACTGCATGTATATTTACTTAACCCGTGTATTAATCAACGGTACATACGTCTGTGATGAATTTTTGCTATTTTTTCTTCTCATTTGATGTTGAAGAAAAGATAAAAATGCAGAGCAGGCGTTTACTGTGGCGACATTTCGCTCAGTGTAGCGCTTTATCAAGTCACAGGGCGAAACAGGCAAGCGAAAAACGGCCTCACTCTCCCCCTGTATTTTTCCCTCAATACTCTCGGTAGTACATGTCAGTATCCTCTTCGTAGCTTCGTTGCAGAAGTTCTGAACCAGCAGCTGCCAGAAGGAACGTAACTCACTATTACGAACGCGTTACAAAATGTGCTTCACATTAATCATACTTTCCGGACCTTCCTCCGCCTCCGCCTACGGTAATGCCTTAAAAGTGTCGTCGTCAGGAGAAAAGTTTAGAAGGCCACCAGCAAGTGGGCACCGATCTATCGCCCATATTTTACGATAATGTCATCCCAAACCAACACTGCATAAAATTCGACTCTTATATTATGCTGCTATAGAGATTATAATGATATTCCTTCGTGTGAAACTGGGGAATGTGTTTGTTTCTTGATGCAGTGGAAAGATCCAGGGCACTGTGTTTGTTTCTTGATGCAGTGGGAAGATCCAGGGCACTGTGTTTGTTTCTTGATGCAGTGGGAAGATCCAGGGCACTGTGTTTGTTTCTTGATGAAGTAGAAAGATGCAAGGAATTGTTTGTTTCTTGTAGTGGAAAGACGCAATAAACTGTTTGTTTCTTGATGCAGTGGGAAGATGCAAGGAACTGTGTTTGTTTCTTGATGCAGTGGGGAGATGCAAGGAACTGTGTTTGTTTCTTGATGCAGTGGGAAGATGCAAGGAACTGTGTTTGTTTCTTGATGCAGTGGGGAGATGCAAGGAACTGTTTGTTTCTTGATGCATTGGGAAGATGCAAGGAACTGTGTTTGTTTCTTGATGCAGTGGGAAGATGCAAGGAACTGTGTTTGTTTCTTGATGCAGTGGGGAGATGCAAGGAACTGTTTGTTTCTTGATGCAGTGGGAAGATGCAAGGAACTGTGTTTTTCTTGATGCAGTGGGAAGATGCAAGGAACTGTGTTTGTTTCTTGATGCAGTGGGAAGATGCAAGACATGTGGAAAACACAGCGAGGAAGGACAGTAATCAATAAAGCCGCACCTCTCAGCTTGACCGAGCAGACAGATTAGATTTTGCCACCGATGTGGCTAGTTTTTGTGCACCCCATATCCATCCTGTGGACGGTAGCGCAAGAGCATATGGATACACAAAAGGCCTAGGAACTAGGCCCCAAAGGGATAACAGGAATACATACGGATTTATATCTACATATCTATAGTTCACTTTCTGTTACAAGCAAATTTAGCTTAGTATATCTGGTATCTTATTTTCATTAAAAAGATATCTTGACATGTCACATAGGTTATTATACTGTCTATCTCTGTATTCCTCAATAAGTGGACAATTAAGCACATAGTGTTCAAGACAGTGACCATATGCCTGATCACATAATTTACATTTAGTTTGATCATCTGTGTGTCTCCCAAACTGCCAGAAGTACTTGTAACCAAGCCTAAGTCTGGCCACTACAACATCAGTCAGTCTGTTCACATTACAAGTTGCTCCATAAACATACTTATCTACGTTCATGTTATCATAGTTATTCATCGTTATTTACTTCTCTCCTAATATTATTCCTAATGCTAGACACAGATATACCAAAGTTATATTCTACATTCTCCTTCTGGGTACTCTTCTTGGCTAACATAACAATTTTATCATGAAGGAGCAATCCAATGTGTGATGGGATCCATAGCAATTGTACATTAATTCCTTTGTCTCGGATTTTTGAGTATCTGTACCTGGCTTCTCCAATGAGCATGTTGTTGGAGTCATTATATGAGTTAAGATCCTTCAGTGATGACCTAGAATCAGTAATGATGATAGAGTCAAGCTCAGTGCCATAAGTTAGCTTTAGCGCCCAATTGTTAATTCTTATGCCTAGTTCAACAAGTTTATTATCGTTCTTAACTAGGGAGGTGGCAACAAGAGCAGATGCAGCCCTGCCAGAAGTCTCCTGTTTAGATCCATCAGTGTATATAACTTGTGATAACTTATTACTACCAGCTAGGCGAGAAATTTTTTCTTGAGCAGTTGCTTTAACAAGTGATTTAAGGAAGGGATTACTAGCAATGAGTTTCTTGGGAGGGACTTGTAGGTATGTGATATTAAATGAACACATCTTCCATGGAGGGGTGAAATGCTCGTGTTGTCTACAGTGATATAGTTCATGCAGGTTATAAAACTTAATGCAATTGCACGTTTTCACAATCCATTTAGATATGTGTGTATTTACTTCTAGACACTTAGTAAGGTACATTGTGACAGTGTCTGGTTCATTTCTCAACATTCTAACACCGTGTACAGTGTTAATCTCAAGAATCCTATCACTGATACTAGAAATACCTAGCTCCTTCCTCATATTAAGAACCTTTGTAGATTTGAGAGGTGCTGGAGAAGCCAGCCATTTTCCAGTACAAGTCATGTAGCCAGTGCAGGGAGGTGCTGGAGAAGCCAGCCATTTTCCAGTACAAGTCACGTAGCCAATTCAGGGAGGTGCTGGAGAAGCCAGACATTTTCCAGTACAAGTCATGTAGCCGGTGCAGGGAGGTGCTGGAGAAGCCAGCCATTTTCCAGTACAAGTCATGTAGCCATTGCAGGGAGGTGCTGGAGAAGCCAGCCATTTTCCAGTACAAGTCATGTAGCCAGTGCAGGGAGGTGCTGGAGAAGCCAGCCATTTTCCAGTACAAGTCATGTAGCCATTGCAGGGAGGTGCTGGAGAAGCCAGCCACTTTCCAGTACAGTCATGTAGTCAGTGCCAGGCTCTTCTCCTGTACCAGTATTGTAGAAGGAGAGAGGTACAATATCATCTGGTAACGGGTAAAGATTTGATAGGCAGGGCAGGTGGGCGCGGGTAAAGTCAAGATTTAGGCGTGAAGGTCATTGGTAGATTGAATATATTAAAGTCAATGTTACCCTAAAGAGAGTTAACATGATTGATTGATGTGGGTGGGTTACTTACCTGTCTGTTGCTCCTGGGGCCGTATCTCCACTCCTTGGCTCTCCGCCTACCATCAACTCACACACGTTCTAACATTATTCTGACTTCTTGAGCCTTATCGTACCTACACTTAAAACTTTGTACGGGCTCTGCTGTCACCACTGCTTTATAAAGGTCGTCTCGCTTCCTAAAATATCTCAGACGGAAGAAGTTATCTTTAAATTTATGTAAAGTGCTAAGTCAGACTGCAAATATAGATATTTGTACCTTTGCATAATATACAATGTGAGATTTGCATGTTAGAAGATATTCTTAAGCACACAGAAAGCCGCCAGCCTGCCTGAGCATTCTTGGCATCTTAAGTGAATCCGCGCATGTAATGAAAAGGCGCATTTAGTTAGTTTAATATCATTATTATGCACCCCATACCCATCCTGTGGGCGACAGTCAAAAAGATTACAGTGGTACGTAAAGGGTCCAGGGACTGGACCGCAAAGTTTTGATAGCTGAACAAGTTACAAAGGTAATGAACCATTCACACATTCCCACCTGATAACAAATGCAATGAGTTATTAATGCAAATATTAGCTTTATGTACAGTGAGCAAAGTTAGGGTATTTTTACAGAATGATTTGTAATTTACCACTGTGGATAAAATACTTTGCCATTTTTTGAACATTTCTGAGTGAGTTGTCTCTGAATTCATTAATTTTATCGCACTCCAGTACATAATGACGCAGGGTGTGACGCACTCCAGTACATAATGACGCATAGTGTGACAATAATCCATCTGGCAAAGTTTACATTACGTTTGGTCTACATCTGGTGGTGGTGATTTAACCTGCCCAAGATACTCGTAACCCAGCCAAAAAGGCGCAAAGCAATCTTTTCTAGTGAGGAGTGTTGGGCTCTGTGTAGAGCTTTATCAAGTCATTGACTTGCTGAAGCTCTTCAGAGAGTGACACTTTCTCGCAATAACGACTTGGTCTGGACCTCTTATATACATCCTTCAGCGCCGCGAGTTACTGGCGGAAGCTCTCTCAGGGAAAAAACCCAGATTCACGCTCTTCTCTCTCTCTCTCTCTCTCTCTCTCTCTCTCTCTCTCTCTCTCTCTCTCTCTCTCTCTCTCTCTCTCTCTCTCTCTCTCTCTCTCTCTCTCTCTCTCTCTATCTATCTATCTATCTATCTATCTAACTATCTATCTATCTATCTATCTATCAGTCCACTGATCAGGTGAAACATCCCAGACTCAAGAAATACAGTATTTTCTGTCATCGCCTCGTCTGCCTCTTTATTTGTATTAATAAATCCTCTTCAGATCTTATACGCCATAATCATGTCTTCCTGGATTACCCTCTAATCCGGTGTCGTGAGTCAGAAGAAACTGCGGGTGTAATGATGGGCACCGTGGGTGTAGTGAAGGAGGAATATAGACCATGGGTGTGGTGGGGGTAAGAATGCAGAAGGCGGGTGTGGTGAGGGAAGAAATATAGAACGTGGGCGTGGTGAGAGAGGCGGTATAGACTATGGGCGTGTTGAGAGAGACAGATATGGGTGGCGTGGTGTGCTACAAGGGGGCAGTGTGTGTGAGAGCGTCGTGCTGGAAGGTAACAGCATCAGGTGGTGTGTAGCAGCAGTGGTACCACACGTGTGGGAACCTTAATAACGTCTCAGCTGTCACAGTGTCAGCACACCTCTCAGCTGTCACAGTGTCAACACACCTCTCAGCTGTCACAGTGTCAACACACACCTCTCAGCTGTCACAGTGTCAACACACCTCTCAGCTGTCACAGTGTCAACACACCTCTCAGCTGTCACAGTGTCAACACACCTCTCAGCTGTCACAGTGTCAACACACCTCTCAGCTGTCACAGTGACATCACACTACTCAGCTAGGTAGTCATTAAGAGTGATCACCATAATGGGTGTCCAGCAAACCTCGCCTTCGTCAGCCACGTCTCAGCGTTCCTCGCCGCCCCCTTTGGGTAGCAGCAAGTGTCGACGCCCCACTACTCTTACCGTGGGAGCTGCTTCTGGTCCCACCAAGACCTCCCCAACTAGTAAGGCTCCCACCAGTCCCTCGTCAGGAAAACCCTCACCGACTCGTTCCCCGACGCCCAAGAGTGGTGGCAGCCCTGGGAAGGTTCCAGCACCTGCCAGTAAGCCTACCACGTGCCCTCAGGGCCCCGTGTTGGCCACGGAGGCCCGCAGCAAGGTGAGGCCCTGCGGCTGCTCCAGGAGACACAGCGGCAGCGGTCACCACCACCCGTCACCCCCGCCAGAGACGCCTAAGAGTGAGTAGCATTGTTTAATTAACACCTCCTAGAGTGACGTTGCCTGTCTGCAAGTCGTCTTAGTACAGTTGCTCGTGGAGCACATCAGTATAAGGGAAGATAATCTTAGGACACTGGAGTCTTCTCTCTGCTTGATGGAACAAGGATGTTTTCACTCAAAAAAAAGCACAACTGCAGTAGAAATTTATTAAGACATTTCGGCTGTGGAAGAGGGTTCTTCAGTGAATACGCAGAGATGCATATCAAACATAGTTAAGGGAGTGGCCGGGTAGCTGAAATCACTGTATGGTTGAAGTTCAAGACAGACTCACTGCAGGAGGTCTACCAGTCCTTCTCATGACCTGCTTGTGCTAGACGAGTTGTGCTACAGGTTTGAGTAAACACAATGCTCCTTGACTCTGTTGGATTGCATTTTATGTACTGATTAGCGCATCTTCCAGACATCTGAGTCGTGCTTCGTCCATTTCCTTGACCAGCTGGGTGTCCTTCCAAGATATCAGATGGTCAGTCTTGTCCCAGTATTTCACCTGGGCATTAGGCATTTTTCCTAGTGTGAGTCCTGTACATATACTGGTGTTGTATAGGCTACAGTAGGTCTCTCCCTACATATTTCTGGTCACAGCGGCCACATGGTGTGGGAATTTCGAATTCCCCGTTATTTCCCTTAAGCTTTGAAAGGGGGTAGAGCTATGGGGAGGGTGTAAAAACGCTATGAGAGCAAGTGTGTAGTAAGTTTGAGAGGCCTGTAACATGATATGTAAGCCTACATGTCTGCCAAACCTACAGTTCCTACAAACTTAATAGTTTGATAATTTGGCTATAGTCTTCTGTGCCAGTGGTCTTGGTTACACATGGAATGATACAGACACCTGTAATGTCGTGGTCCTGGAGGCTGCCTTTTTTGCCTGGTCAAGTCTAATAGTGCCAGATGTGATGTATTACATTTACATTCTTAGTGATGATGATCCAGTACGTTCTTTGGTCTGTATTAACGATGACTTTTGTCTATGTTCTCTGATTTCAGTGTCGTATACTATAAATATGAGAAGAACGTCTAAGAAAGGAAGGCTTTCATTAGCTTCTTCTTTTAGGTTGAACTGAATCAACGGTCCCACGCTGTTGAGGTTATTTTTGGGGTTGTGTAAGTTTAGCCTTTTTTGGAGAAAATAAGCAGAATATCGCCCATTTAGCGAAGTCGTGTAACCATTTTTGGGATGATATTGATGAATCTTTCGGCCTCGAGTGACTCTCTATACAGATTAACCTAAACTACAATGATAGTTGAACCTATGACCATGGCGAATCTGTTTCTGTGAAAAGTATTACAGAAATGAAAACAACTAAGAGTTTCTACTGCGGTTAGTTTCATGAAATCTGGCAAGGTATAGGCAGGTCCATGTCCGGTCTTATCTTCGAGTGTAATAAACCATTTGCTTGGTCGGTGAGGACTCTGGTGAAAAGGAAGTCATTTCTAGACTACCTAATTTTTCGTTTGTGATATAAAGGTCTTTTATCTAGAGTAAATCCCCGGAGTGGCGAAGAGGTGAATTACGGATAAAGTCGCCAGTTTGCCCAAGTGTTTGGCTAAAACACCTGTCAGGAGGTGAGGTGCAGTGTCTGTGCTGGATTGTTATGATCTTATGGCACATGCTGTTTATGTCTTGGATAATTCATGCATGGTAGCTGGTGAGGGTTAGGCTTTGGTGTATTTTTCATGCTCACTCTGGGTGATTTGTTCATGTGTGTCGATGTCATACTGGAGCTCAAGCATCTTGGATCCCTATGTGTTGGAGTCCATGAAGACCACCGAGCCCCCTAGGTCCGCCCTGGTGACTCTGATGATGGTGTCACGTGCCGAGTTATTACCTATAATGCAGTGTTGTGGAAATGATGACTTAGGGGGTTCTGAAAGTCAGACGGCCAAGATACACTTGATAAAACCTTTCTGGAATCCGGAGTCACTGTAGTGGTGCTTACAGATGATAAACTCCGCGTCGTGTGCAGGTCTGCGATTACCTGCGGCAAACTTGAACCGCTGGTTGCGGCTTCTCTAAATATAAATAATTCACGTTAGGCGTTAAACCCATGCGAGTCATTCAGCGCAAGACGTGGTAAAGGCTTGATCCTCTGTCTGCTGAGCGCATGATAGACGTACTTCCTATTTATACTCACCTATATGCTTCTTTAGTCCGGCGCGAGGCTCCTGCCTGGCCTCGAGGTTAGCCTCCTGCTGAGAGAGCCTCATACTGCCGATGACCATCGACCTGCAGCGAAGCAGCGGGCTTGGAAACCTGACACCACAGTATAAAGGTATGAGTGTTGGCCAGTGCTCTGTCTGACAGGTTGTTGATGATGTGAGGATCTGCCTGTCTTCCTGTCTGTCGTCTCTGTAAAGGTTGTTTGGTAAGTTTCATGTCTAATTTACGTTTCTTCAGCTGACTCTTTTCCCCACTCGTCTGCTGTGTCTGACAGGAATGACCTTAGACTCTTACAGGAATGACCTTAAGCTCTTACAGGAATGATCTTAGACTCTTACAGAAATGACCTTAACATTCATAAGAAAGACAGCATTCATAAATCATTATTGTTTTAAGGTATGTCGTCACGAGACTTAAATATATCCAACTGATATTTTTTAGTTTTCAGACGACAGTGATTTTAAGAGCAAGTGCGTAGCATAACCAGCGTTTTTCCGCATAAGTCATCGTCGCAAAAACATTAGAAACAGTAACTGTTAACCTATACACATTTATTGTGTGAAAATGTCTGTTTAATTGCTTGCTTGTTAGTTTAGTTTGTTCGTATTTTGGAGTGTTGGTTTGACCTTGTGTGTGGTGCGCCTTATATATGGAACCTTGTATTGACCAGAGCACTCAACCAACTGTTCGTATCAACACTGTAAATTTTTATTTCCTTTCCTTACAGCCTGACTTCCTGTCTGCCTCCCTCCCCCTACCTCCCTCGCTCCCTCACTCCCTTTCGCAAACGACGGGGGCACAATCTGGAGTATACCTGGAGGGTGTTTCAGGGGTCAACGCTCCCGTGGTCTGGTCCGTAATCAGGCCTCCTGGTAGATCAGAGCCTAATGAACCAGGCTGTTACTGCTGGCCGCACGTAAACCGAAGTACGAACCACAGCCCGGCTGGTCAGGTACTGACTTTAGGTGACTGTCCAGCTCCTTCTTGAAGACAGACAGGGGTCTTTTGGTAATTCCACCTATGTATGCTGGGAGGCAGTTGAACAGTCTTGGGTCCCTGACACTTACTGTGTCAGGGGGCCCAAGACAGAACAAAACAACTGAAGCTAAATCGCGCTTTTAAAATTACTTACAAGCAGTGTCCAGAATATCTTTCTGCCAAGTCTGTCAAGGCTGGGAACCAAAGCAATTATAATGTAAATAACTCTACTTACCTTATTTACTTAGCGGTTTTGACTATTAAGGTTTAAATAAGATATCAGAAGAACCCCAATGAAAATAAGTCACTTTGATTTTTGGGGTTATCGTGGGTAATGTATGCATGATAATTTATGTAACTGCATTTATATGTGTACCTATACCTGAATCAACTTAAGAGCGGTGAGTGGGTTGACAACTGGCAGACATCAAGGTCGTCTTACACCACCACCTCCATGTTCCTGAGAGTATATATGTAGCTTGTGCTAGTGTCGCCTCTTTTGTGGGTATACTGTACTCTGTGGGTATACTGTACTCTGTGGGTATACTGTACTCTGTGGGTATACTGTACTCTGTGGGTATACTGTACTCTGTGGGTATACTGTACTCTGTGGGGATACTGTACTCTGTGGGTATACTGTACTCTGTGGGTATACTGTACCCTGTGGGTATACTGTACCCTGTGGGTATACTGTACCCTGTGGGTATACTGTACCCTGTGGGTATACTGTACTCTGTGGGTATACTGTACCCTGTGGGTATACTGTACTCTGTGGGTATACTGTACTCTGTGGGTATACTGTACCCTGTGGGTATACTGTACTCTGTGGGTATACTGTACCCTGTGGGTATACTGTACTCTGCAGGTATACTGTACTCTGCAGGTATACTGTAATCTGTGGGTATACTGTACTCTGTGGGTATACTGTAATCTGTGGGTATACTGTACTCTGTGGGTATACTGTAATCTGTGGGTATACTGTACTCTGTGGGTATGATGTAAATAAGAGTCTTTTTCCACATAGTGTACTCTGAGTACATACACTTTGTGTTTGGATGTTCTTAACCTTCGTGTGGGTCTGTGTGAATTAGTTACACAGTTGTGAGAGAAATGGAAGCAGATTGTATACACTTCCACTTATCCAGCGCTGAGGGTTGAGCACTATACTCTGTATCCAGTACTTCACAGTGCAGTGTAGTGGTTAGAGCACTGACCTGTAAATTTGGTACTGCCTTGGCACGGGTTCGAATCCTGTAGGCTGTTTACAGTTATTACGATTTGGTAAATAACTAATAAATAATAATAATAACTGATGCCGCTGTAAATGTTTGAACGAATATTAAAAAATAATTGTAAATTGTGTGTTCAACCTATTAATGGTAATTTTCCTACCCTATTACAAACGTCTATTTCTAAACGTTCCTGTAAACTTTGCAGCTGATATTTGCTGTAGTTATTGTAGGTTAGCTTAGCCTACATGAGCCTACAACAACGCATCGTACTTACAAATGAGCAAATTAAGAATAATGGGCCGTGACACGTCTGGCAGCACGGTGGTAGGCAGAGCCAGAAAGCGTTCATATCAACACGAGTGACACAGGTGGTGAGAGAGATTATATTACCTAACATTTCCCTGCCTCATTTCGCAAAGTATATTTGTTACTTAATGTGAATGGTGTTTTTTTTTTTTTTACTTCAATGGTCGTAATTGACTTTGTCAAAAGTGACGAATAAACTCGGAGATCAAAACACTTTGGTAATCTTGATTTTTTCTTATTTTACATGTATGACTTATGACATCCGTCGCAAGTGTATATATACTGA